CCTGGGCTAGATTGCAAGGCTGAGTAGGAAAAGTGATGTCGGTGGTACCTGATAGGTGGTCCGTGCACGCCGCGATGAGAGACAAACTCTGAGCCTCGCCGTCCACGTCTTCTTTTCTTACAAGCTCTCCAGCCATTTCTTTTAGCGCCCTTCTTTCTCCTTTCTTTTCCTCACCATCAATTATTGTCCAGCGCGCTCTTTTCATTTCGGTTTCTCGTGTAGCCATCCTATATCACAGGTCCGAGTGGAGAAGTATCTCGCGACAGGAATACAGCCGTCCTCTATTCCTCTCCCACTCGTCAAACCCCCCTCCTCCTCTTGCCAATATGGAGTCATCTCGAGGGCCCCCGAGGGTGAAGAACAAGGGCGCCGCGCCGATTCAAATCAGCGCGGAACAGCTGCTTCGTGAGGCAGTCGACCGCCAAGAAGTTGGCATTCAGGCGCCGACTCAAAAATTCTCCGATCTCGAAGAGCTCCACGAATATCAGGGCAGGAAGCGAAGGGGATTCGAGGACTATGTGCGTCGAAATCGCGTCAATCTGAAGAACTGGACTCAGTATGCGCAATGGGAGCTGGAACAAAAGGAGTTTGCCCGAGCGCGGTCGGTTTTTGAGCGCGCCATCGACGTTCTTCCTCATAATGTCGTCCTATGGATTCGGTACATCGAGGCGGAGATGAAATCGAGAAATATCAACCACGCGCGAAACTTGCTCGATCGGGCCGTCACCATCCTCCCCCGTGTCGATAAGCTGTGGTACAAGTATGTGTACATGGAGGAGATGCTGGGTAACATTCCCGGCACCCGACAGGTGTTTGACCGGTGGATGCAATGGCAACCCGACGAGGCGGCTTGGAGTGCATACATCAAGCTGGAGAAGAGATACGGCGAGTTCGACAGAGCCCGTGCCATTTTTCGGGACTTTACCACTGTCCACCCGGAACCTCGCAACTGGATCAAATGGGCCAAGTTCGAGGAGGAATACGGCACGAGTGAGCTGGTGCGCGAAGTATTTGGAGCGGCTGTCGAGGCCTTGGGCGACGAGTTTGTGGATGAGAGGCTCTTCATCGCCTACGCACGGTTTGAGTCCAAGTTGAAGGAATACGAGCGGGCCCGCGCCATCTACAAGTACGCGCTGGATCGACTGCCGCGCTCCAAGTCGATGCTTCTGCACAAGGCCTACACGACGTTTGAGAAACAGTTTGGCGACAAGGACGGCGTGGAGGATGTTGTTCTGTCGAAGCGGAGGAGGTACTACGAAGAGCAAGTCAAGGAGAACCCAAAGAACTACGACGCCTGGTTCGACTACGCCGGGCTCGAGGAGTCTAGCCGAGACGCGGATCGAGTCCGAGACGTATACGAGAGAGCCGTTGCCCAGGTACCTCCGACGCAGGAGAAGCGGCACTGGCGACGGTACATCTATATCTGGATCTTCTACGCCATTTGGGAAGAGCTCGAGGGTCAGGACATGGAGCGGACAAGGCAAATATACAGCACGTGCCTGGGCCTGATACCGCATAAGAAGTTTACCTTTGCCAAGCTGTGGCTCTTGGCCGCCCAGTTTGAGGTGCGGCAGGGAAAGCTCACGGCTGCGCGCAAGTTGCTGGGACGCGCCGTGGGCATGTGTCCCAAGGACAAGATCTTCAACGGCTACATCGACCTGGAGCGCAAGTTGTTCGAGTTTGTGCGCTGCCGCACCCTCTACGCGAAGCACATCGAGTACAACCCGGCCAATTGCCAGACCTGGATCAGATTTGCGGAGCTGGAGCGCGGTCTGGACGATCTGGACCGCACCAGGGCCATCTTTGAGCTGGCCGTCAACCAGCCGCAGCTGGACATGCCTGAGCTGCTGTGGAAAGCCTACATTGACTTTGAGGAGGAGGAGGGCGAGTACGACAGGACGCGCGAGCTGTACGAGCGACTTCTCGAGAAGACGGACCACGTCAAGGTCTGGATCAGCTACGCGCATTTTGAAATCAACATTCCCGAAGAAGGAGACGAGGAGGCGGAAGACGCGGAGGAGCAACCCCTCAGCGAGGCGGCCAAGGCCCGCGCGCGCAAGGTATTCGAGCGGGCGCACAAGAGCATGCGCGACAAGGATCTCAAGGAAGAGCGCGTGTCCCTCCTCAACGCGTGGTTGTCGTTTGAGCGCGAGCACGGCTCCGAGGACGACCAGGAGAGCGTGCAGAAGCAGATGCCGCGGCGGACCAAGAAGAGACGGCGTCTGGAGGACGACACCTACGAGGAGTACTTTGACTACATCTTCCCGGCGGACGATGAGCAGGCCAAGAGCCTATCCAACATTATGGCCATGGCGCAGAAGTGGAAGCAAACTGGGGGGGATTTGGCGGCTTCTTCGTAGCTGGCAGTCTACGTTTGTTGTTTCAGTTGGGGCAAAAAAAACAAGATGTAGAGAAATGCATTAGTAATCTATTCTAAAGATGACGCGTTGGGTGGTTGCTCCATATGCTTTTTTTTCTTCTTCGTCGTCTTGACTTTTTTTTTTGTTCATGCGTCTTTTTACCTACGAGGTGCAAGGTAGGGGATCAAACCGGCGAGAGGAGAGATGCTCAACAGCGCAGACCAGGTTTTCCATGCATGTCCGCGACGATAAGTCGGGCCCCCACACAAACAGGTGTCATGCACCGATGAGAAAAATAGATAGCCGCGCTCATCTAAGCCGAGAAGAATTAACATCGTGTCGCGGCCTGGCCGATGTTCGCCGCACATTCCGCGACCGTGACGATAAAATTGCATACCTGTATATAAAGCAATAAGGTCATTCTTACTCAACAACGGCCGTGTGGCTCAATGGCAGAGCGTCTGACTACGATTTATCACGGAATCAGAAGGTCGCAGGTTCGACCCCTGTCTCGGTCAGTCTAAGCATGGATTTAATTTTCAATAAGGCCGTGTGGCTCAATGGCAGAGCGTCTGACTACGATTCATACACGGAATCAGAAGGTCGCAGGTTCGACCCCTGTCTCGGTCAAAATCAAAACATGCTTTGTTTTTTTTAGCCTGCCTTGCTGTGTCTTAATTTTTTTTAGGCGTTCTTCTTAAGGGCTATTTAGTTTATGCATTTATTTCCTTATTTAGTGTCCGGAGCTTGTTTCTTTTGCTACTGAGAAGCGTGTTGTCTGTTATTCAATGCTTTGTCTTTAGCACCTGTTTTGTGTCATGGAGCTGCTAGGTTGCCGCGAGTCCTATCTTGCTGCTAGACATTAAGGGGATTCTCCCTTTCTAGGACATTGAGATAAGTGAGAAGAGTTTTTTTTTCCTTTTTTTTTTTTTAAAAAAAAAAAAGAGAGAGAGAGCGAGAGAGAGAGAGAGAGAGAAAGCCAGGTCACTCGCCTGTAGCTTCAGTAAACAAGGGTTTAAAATAATGTCAGTGGCTACGTTTTATAGGGTAGGTCAGTCGTACTTGGCGGTTCAAGGTCCCTCCACGACGGACGATTTAGCGCCCCTGCTGGATATAGGCACGCCGATCTAGCCTGCCGAGGAAGTAAGCATTGATGCCAGCTAGACCTAACTGGGACAAGAAGATTAGACTTGATGTATCTGCGCACCGTCACATCACTAGTTAGGTACATGGACGGGAAAAGAAGTAAAAGTCAATAGGTACAAGACCGAAAGAAAGCAAGGTCGACTTTCCCAGCCGGCCGGGGAGAAAGCAACAATAAACAGCCACCACCACCACCACCATCACCACCACCACGACCATCACCATCACCAAAAAAAAAAAAAAAAAAAGAAAAGAAAAGCAGCCCGCATGGCCCCTCCGACCCCCCGCGGCACCATCGGCCGCGTGCTCGTCATTGGCGGCAACGGCTTCCTGGGCCACCACATCGTCAACCAGGCCCTCGGCGACTGGGCGGCGGCGGCCGTCTCGTCCATCGACCTCCGCTGCGACAAGAACCGCAACCCGGGCGCCAGCTACCACGAGTGCGACATCACGGACGGGCCGCGGCTGGCGGCCCTCATGGCGCAGCTCGCGCCGGACGTGGTGATACACACGGCCAGCCCGGCGGCCAGCAGCGACACCAGCGTGTCCGACTCGCTCTTCCACCGCGTCAACGTCGAGGGCACGCGCTCCGTCCTCCGGGCCTGCCGGTCCACGCCCTCGGTCAAGGCCCTCGTGTACACGTCGTCGGCGAGCGTCATCTCGGACAACGAGCACGACCTACGCAACGCCGACGAGCGGTGGCCCGTGATGCGCGGCGCCCAGCAGAAGGAGTACTACTCGGAGACCAAGGCCGCGGCCGAGGAGCTCGTCCTGCAGGCCAACCGCGCCGCCGACGACAAGGACGGCCGGCTCCTGACCACGGCGCTGCGCCCGGCCGGCATCTTTGGCGAGGGCGACGTCCAGACGCTGGCCGGCTTCCTCAAGGCCTACCGCACCGGCAAGACGCACATCCAGCTCGGCGACAACACCAACATCTTCGACTTCTCCTACGTCGGCAACGTCGCCCACGCGCACCTGCTCGCCGCGCGCGCCCTGCTCCTCACCGCCGACGCCGCCACCCTGCCCCTCGACCACGAGCGCGTCGACGGCGAGGTCTTCTTCATCACAAACGACTCGCCCTGCTACTTCTGGGACTTTGCCCGCGCCGTCTGGAAGGCCGCCGGCCACGCGTCGCCGCCGGGGCCCGCCGAGAAGAACGTCTGGACCCTGGCCAGGGGGACGAGCCTGGCTCTCGGGTCGCTGAGCGCCTTCTTCTTCGGCCTCGTCGGGAAACCGCCCACCTTTACGCGCGTGAGGGCCGTCATGGCCACCATGACGCGCTACTACAACATCTCCAAGGCCAAGAGCGTGCTTGGCTACGAGCCGCTGTGGACGCTGCAGGAGGGCGTCGACAGGGGCGTTGCCTGGTTTCTCGAGCGAGAGAAGGAGGGGGCCCAGTAAAGGGGGGGGGGGGACCTTTTATCATCATCATCATCGTCGTCGTCATCGTCATCGTCGGCAGGCATCCGTCTTCGCCTGAGCCCTGTACTTTCACAATTGTACCATTTCATGCATTTGTCTCGTAGAGGCACAGTTTTATGAGAGCGTACATCTTTTGCAAGAGGCTTCTCGTAAAAGAGCATCCGTTATCGACGCAATATCCACGTCCCTTGTAGAGCATCTTGAAAATGTCTCCTTAAGGCATCACTCTCCATCAAAGGTGTATTCCTTGGAAAGGACAGCCACGTTCTCGTAAAGAGATTGATCTCTTTGTGCAAGACACTGCCATCCATCTCTGTAAAGTCATCCACAACTCTAGTCAGCTCTGAAACCCAAACTTCCAAGCCACCAATCACCCCAATCACCACAACCCAAACAGCCCATCCACATCCACGCGTCCGCCCACACCCAACAATCACCATACCGATGAGCCCGACGACGATCCCGTTATCCAACGTCGTCAGTCCAAAAAACCCGCCAGCTCAGACCCGCCCCTAAGCCACGCCCTTTATCTTGAAACACAAGTCACTCCAGTGCAAAGTGGCCAATGGTTGAACTGTGTATTCTTGTCTGCGTGACTAGAGTAATGAAACCAAAAGAACAAGAACAAGAGAAAACCAACAAAGAAAAGGGACAATAAAGCCAGATGATGGGGCAAAAAAAAAAAAAAAACAAAAAAACGCCATGGGTAATGCATCTGGCTCAAAAGCTAACACGGTCACATCAATCGATTCTTGGTGGGTAATGACAAAAAGGACGGCGAGGTTGTGGATGACGTGGAATTGGTCCCGTGTCTCGTTTATAGAAACAAGCCCGACCGAGACAGGTAAATAAAGGAATAAAGAGGAAAAGAAAGAAGAAGAAGTAGTAAGAGAAGAAGAAAAAGAAGAAAAAGAAGAAAAGAAGAAAAGAAGAAAAAGAAAGAAAAAAGAAGAAAAAAAAAAAAAAAAAAAGAAAAAAGAAAAAAAAAGAAAAAAGAAAAAGAAAAAAAAAAAAAAAAAAAAACAACCGACGCATAAATAACAAAACAAAAAAAAACGCTCATCATGAGTCCCCCCCAACTCCTAACCCACCACCGCGACGCCCAAAGGCCGAGTTGCGCCACTCGCCCCGCTGTCCATCCGAACTGCTCAAGTGACCATCTGAATGATTGAAGCGCGCATTGTACGGACTTCGCGGGAGTTCATCCGGCCCCGGCGGCCATTTATGAGGCGAGCCGCCCTGCTCTTGATTGCCGGCCGTGGACGGCGAACCCTGAACGCGTCGCACCGTTCGCTCGCCTTGCCAAACCGATGGGTCCGTCTCGACACGCTTGGGAGGGGATCGAGTAGACACATCGGGCCTGTTATACGCTTCACCCGTCTCCCCCGCGGGCGTTTGGCCTTGACGGTCCTGGAATCGCCTAAGGATCTCCTTGGTCGTGATTTCGCCATTGTTGCTGAAGATGTACGGATCATGGAGCAAGGTCAACAACTCATCGGGTACCTGAAAAACAAAAGTCACCGTGTTAGTGTTTTCCCCCCTTTGTCTCTGTATTCCCTTCTTATTTTAGGAAAAATAATTTCAAGAGGCGATGCGACGCTCAATGATGCATTCCACAAGAGGAAGAGAAGGAAACAGGCCCAAAAAAAAAACAAAAAAAAAAAACAAAAAAACCCACCTGGCACATCTCTTCGATATTGTTGATGAGTATCTCTACTGCATCAATGACGTAGATGGCCTCGCTGTCGAGAGCCGGGGCTTTGGACGCATTGGTCAAGATATTTGGAGCAATGACGGTCGCGAGATTGCGGATGTCCATCTTGGATCCCACCTCTTCGTCAAGCTGGTGGAAAGAACCGGCCCACTTGAGAAACGTGAAGAGAATCTCGAGACAATCGCGGTGGCTCTTGGGTAAGAGACAGCACGTCAGATGCAGGCACTGCTTTCTCCTTTCGGCATCGGGAAGCCTCGCCGCACTCGTCCAGAGCCTGTACAGCTTGTGCGTCATGAGCGGATCGGGAAGATCGCGGAGGTAGCGTTTGAGAAGCGCCGCCAACTGCACAACTGGCTGTTCCATGAAGTTAACAACGTCACAGCCCTCCTGGTTAATCCTCTCCACCAGCTCCTGCTGCTTCTTGATGTTGCCATTTTTGCGGAACACGCCCTCGACCGACAGGTCCATCTTGCGCATCGAGGCGATGATGTCGTCCACGACTGCGGGGATGCGCAAGGTGCCCGGGCCGACACCGTCGGTCGAGTCGGCGCCGTCTCGTTCGATAATGACGTCGAGCGGGACGCCAAACACGCCCTTCTTCTTGACGCTCTTGCTCTTGTCGTTCTTGAACGCCTTGCCCAGGTTTTTCCAGAACGTTGGCTGCTTCCGAGACTCGATAAACGTCAAGAGTTCGTCCAGACTAAACTCCTGCTCGACCAGCGGATGCATGGTCAAGACGGCCAGGTGACGGACGTTGAAGGACTCGAGAGCCGAGAGCTCGGGGAAGAACTTGCGAGCCATGCGCATCGGCATGGCCTCGGCCGAGCGCATGTCGGCCTCTCTGCAGGCCGACTGCGTTCGTTGATGGCCGGGAGAGCGAAGTCCGTCCGGGCCGGGATTGCGCAAGAGGTCTCGCCGGGCGTCTTGCTCACGTTTCTCCTGCTGTTCCCGCGACTGCTCCACGGCGACGATTCGAGGAATATCTTCGAGCGTGATGGCGTCGTTTTGCCCAAACATCAAATCAGTCGAGCCTTGCAAGTCCTGTTGGTTCTCGTCGTCGCCACCGGCGGAGCTCGGTCGCGGGCCTTTTCCATCTGCGTCCATGACGCGCGAGGATCGTGCCTGGCGAACACTCGTGGACAAGTGACGGTCAAGACGGGTGCTGCGCAGTCTCCGAACCTCATTGAGGCTGTTTTCGTACGTGGATTCGCGATTTCTCTCCTTTTGCTGTTGCTGTTCGCTGGTGCCCGCGTACGACTTGGATCTCGCGTTTGACGAGAGAAAAGGCGCTTCACCTGGTCTGCCGTTGGATGCTGCCGCCCCTGCCACTCCTTGCGGTAAGCCCTCGTTG